TCACAGCTGGAGCCAAGCACAGAAGAAGAACGAGTGGACCTCCACGAGACAGAACCAGAGCCAAGACTGAAGGTGTAACCCTGTGACGAATGCTGAGTCGCCTAGTCGTCGGCCGAAGAAGCGTCGGATTGTCCTGTGAGTACCACTGAACCCCGTCCTCCAAGCACGAGCCCCATGCCTGATGTACTGCACAAGTAACGCAGTACCCTTTTCGCAGCATCCCATTGCACATTTCGGTGTCGACCGGGAGCCACGTAGCTGGCCAGAAGGATTAGAGGGTACGCGAGGTCAGGTCACGTGCAAGTCATCAGGTACATGAGGCAGCCCACAAGCTCTGTGTACGGACCACTCGGCTCTACGGAATCATCAGAATGTGGAGCTGAGAGCGAGTGGCCAGTAGACAGAGGAGTGGGCTGTGGCGAGGAGAACTGGAAGCCGAAGCGATGAAGGACCTGGTGCACCATGTGTGACTGAGTCAGGGTGATGGTGCGACGTGCTCTGTCTCGGGTGATCTGCAGGCCAAGATAGCTCCGCAACTCACCCAGGTCAGAGCAGGTGTGTCTCTCCTACAGCTCCGCCTTCACTAGGGCCAGCGCCTCCATGTCAGCAGTACCAAAAACCAAGTCGTCGACGTACACGAGAACGTAGAAGGGCGGCAGGGTAGTGTCGGTGCGCAGAAACTGCGACGGGTCAGAAGTCGAAGGAGCGAACCCAAGAGCCGCAAGTGTCGTCCTCAGTGTGTCGTGCCACTCGTGAGGTGCCTGACACATGCCATAAAATGGTCGCCGTAGGCTCCACTGGGTACCCTCAGGAAACAACCCAGCGCAGCCAGATGGCCACGTGAAGGCTACCCTGCAAGAAAGCTGTGGAGAAGTCGAGGGAATGCAGCTCGTAGTCACGCTGAGGCTGCAACGCGTAGCAACACCCAAAGAGTTGTCTTCTTCGGGTTAGGGGAGAAGGTCTGAAAGAAGTCGACCCCCTCACGGTGACTGAAGCCTCGAGCAACGAAACGCGCCTTGAAGGCAGGCGGAGAACTCGACGGCCGCTTCACTATGAAAATCCACATGCCACTGACGATGTTCGCCCCAGGTGGGGGAACCTCGTCGACATAGGTGCCTGTGGACTTCCAGGAAGCCATCTCTGCGTCCATGGCTGTCTGCCACTGAGAGGAGTACTCACCCGAGATCGCCTCTGCGTAAGAGCGCGGGGTGGGGATGTCAAGTGCATCCGGGTCTCCCTCAGGGGCAAGCAGCATGGTCGCGAGATGAGGTGCAGCGGCTGCAAGACACTCTAGCTCCTCCTGCCTGTCCGCAAGAACGTCACAGCCAAGGGCAACCTCACCCCCGACGGACGGAGGACAGGCAGGGTCAGGGTCAGAAACGAGACTCGCATGGTAGTCTAGGCGGTACGCAACAGCAAATTCAACTAGCTCAGCGACTAAGGCAGACGCAGCAGGAGACGAGAGCGTAGGGTCCGTAGCAAGAAAGTGAGTAACAGTCGGACTGGACGCACGAGCAAGGTCAGACGGAGGGTCAGCAACAGCGGGAAGAGAAGACTCTGGAGGTGACGGCAGGACAACGTGCTGTGGAACAGAGGAAGGACGGAGTGTCATATCGTGAGTGCCTGGGACAGCCGGAGCACGAGAAACGACGAACACGAGGAACACGAGCACAGACTGAAGCTCTAGTCTCAGGCTCTCGACGCTCAGGAGTGGAAGCACGAGTCTCAGGCTCTCGACGCTCAGTCAGGGACTCTCTCACAGCAGTGTAAGGAGCAGGAGCAGGCACTGGGGAGTGAGGCAGGAGCTGTGGGAACAGTAACGGAGGAGTAGTACCAGTGACTGGGAACTCAGTAGGAGCTGGCGGAAGACCGAGAAGGTGGCGAAGCACACTAGCAGGTCCAGTACCTCCAGTACCAGCAGGACCTCCAGCACTAGCAGCTCCAGTACCTCCAGCACCAGCAGCTCCAGTACCTCCAGCACCAGTAGTACCTCCAGCACCTCCAGCAGCTCTAGGACCAGTAGGACTAGTAGCTCCAGTACCTCCAGCACCAGTAGCACCTCGAGTACCTCCAGCACCAGCAGTACCTCCAGCACCTCCAGCACCAGCAGCTCTAGTACCTCCAGCACCAGTAGCACCTCTAGTACCTCGAGCACCAGCAGCACCTCCAGCACCTCCAGCAGCACCTCCAGCACCTCCAGGACTAGCAGCTCTAGTACCTCCAGCAGGACGGGACCCTCCACCGCCACCAGGACTCGCAGCACCCCCAGAGTCAGCACCCCCGGTCTCAGCACCCCCAGAACTAGCACCCCCAGTCGCAGCACCCCCAGAACCCTCACCCTCTGCCTCAGCAGCTCCAGGCTCAGCACCAACAGTCTCAGCCCCAGAGTCCACAGCAGCAGGCTGCGGAGGCGGCGAAGACAGCCTAGGGGGAAAACTAGGGGGGGTCTCCAAGCGTGGAGAGCGGCGAGTGGCCGCCGTGTCATCAGCGGCAGGTTCACCCCCGTCAGCTGGGCCAGAGGAGTCAGAAGAGATCTCCAAAGGCTCAACCAAGGGGGGTGGGTCTACCTGAGACACACCTGAGGGAGCAGGACCCTGAGGGGGGGAGGGGGTCGACGGGGGGGGGGGGGGGACTGGTACCAGGAAGAGAGGTGCGAGGGGGACAGGGTGGGACGCATGCGGGTGAAGCCTGTAGTAACAGACCGACTCGTCAAAGGTGACGTCCTGGGAGGAGAAGACTCGACGCGAGCTCGGGTGGTAGAACTGCCACGGCGGGGCGTCGGTGGGGAAGCCAAGGAAGACACAGCGAAGAGTGCGAGGGGAGAGCTTGCTCGCAGTGGTATCGCGAACAAGGGAGAGCGCGCCCCAGACCCGAAACACCGACGCATCGCCAACCTGTCCCGTCCAACAGAGTGTGGGCGAGGTCTCTGGCAAAGAGACACGGGGCCAGAGGTTGAGCTTTTGCGCAGCGTATCGGACCGCAAACGGCCACAGAAAATGGGGAGCAGCCGCATGGATCATGGAGGTACGAGCAACCTCCATGATCAAGCCAATGCGACACTCAGCAATCCCATTTTGCTGAGAGGCCGGAAGCGTGAACGACTGGCGGATGCCCTCGTCTTGACAGGACTCCGCAAGGAGGTCAGAAGAGAACTCACCACCCCTGTCAGAGTGCAGATGCAGGACTGGCAAGTCCTGACTAAACCGATCGCGCAGCTGGCGACAAGTAGCACGGATCCAGGGGATCAAAACACTGCTGACGTCCGCCTTGCGACGCAAGGGGAAGACAGTGGTGTAGCGTGTGTAGTCGTCAACAACCAGCAGGAAGTAGCGCTCCTGGTCCGTTCCACCGACGGGGGCCGGGCCCCAAACGTCCATGTGGAGAGTCTGCAGAGGAGCAGTGGTCGGAGGAAACTCGGAGGAGTGAGGAGCAGCGCGCTGCCGCCCCTCGACGCAGGGAAGGCACGGCGGGGCAGGCGAGCACGGGAGGGAGGGCAAGGACCTGGGAAGGCCGGAGACAAGGAGATGGGAGTGCATGCTGCGGAGACGCGGCAGCGAGGGGTGACCAAGGCGGTGGTGCCAGAGGAGAGTCTGGTGGGAAAGTACCCGACACGAGCAAGAAGCTGCAAGCTGACCAGACGCAGACACCTGACTCGACGCAGCCACCTGACCTACCTCAGCCACCTGTGCAGACACAGTGGTTAGTGTGTACATACTAAACCCAGGCCATCGAGTGAACGTAGCAAGGCGACGGCCAGTCCGAGAGCACGTACAGATCGCCAACACGCTGCCCTCCAGGAATAAAGGTCCTGAATGGCAGCGTTGCTCACCAAGTTCATCGAGAACGTGGGGAGGTGGAGAACTGACAGAGAGCCGGAGAGGACTGCTGGATACGGAAGGACAGTGGAGGCTCGTGCGACTACTGGGCCCTCAGTGGGGTCAGCCAGTGAGACCGTTACCGGTGCAGCAAGTGGTGTGAGTGTGGTGCAGTCACGAAAGAAGCAACGTGACGCGCTGGAATCAAGTGTGAAAGTGTGCAAGGCCTCAGCTGAGGAAGGACCGGTGGCGGGAGACGAACGAGAACTTAGAGCTGCAGTAGATTCACCAGCATCTGGAGCAGCAGCAGACTCACTAGCACCTAGTGCGGCAGCAGACTCACTAGTACCTAGTGCAGCAGCAGACTCACTAGCACCTAGTGAAACAACCTCGACAGAAACAATGACACATCGCTGAGGAAACAACTCACTAAGCACCTGCGGGGAGAAGGTCTCCTGCTGACTCTGCTGCCGCCTCTGTGCAGTACGTAGAAAGCCAAAGCCTCCACCACCTGGACGGGCTCGCTGAAGAACCCACTCGCGAAGCTGCTGAGGGGTGGGGTAGTGGCCATGACAGGCAGAGAGGCAGTGACCGCCGCTGTCCACCCCTAGCCGCTGCAACTGCCGTGATAGTGGCCATGACAGGCAGTGACGGTCAGTAGTAGGTCCAGCACCTCCAGCACCAGCAGCACCTCCAGCACTCCCAGTCGCACCTCCAGCACCCCCAGCACCAGCAGCACTCCCAGCACTCCCAGCAGCACCTCCACCAGCAGCAGCAGTAGCACGAGCAGCAGCCGCAGCAGTAGTAGCAGCAGGGCGGCTCGGTGGGGCTCGTTGCACTATCGAAGCAAAACAGTAGAATGAGCGAAGGAATGAGCGAGAACTACCGTTTTCCCCCGGATAAAAGACCCCCCCATAATAATGTTCCCGGGTCTTTAATACCGGGGGGGGGGGGGGGGGGTACATTATTCAAGACTGTTTTCCTTATACCCCCCACTTGGGGTGAAATCATTGTAAGACCCCCCCCCCCAACCTCAAAAGTGTTTTTTAGAGGTTAATTCATGTCAATTAAGCAAGCAGTGGCACATGGTAGGCCACAGGAGTCACAAAATACAATCAAGGCAGCCTCTCAACACCCAGCTAGCTCCACTCTTCACCCACCACCTTGGAATCCGCCCCCGCCTTGCTACTCATCTTCGTCACCCGCCACCCACTCCTCTACCTCAGCCCCCTCATAGCGACCAGGGGCCCACCATTCATCCCCTTCGTTGCTCCACTCGTCAGCTTCGTTTGCGTTTCCATCGTCGGACTCGCTCGAGTCTGACTTAGCAGGTACTGCCTCCTCATCGGCCTCTTCTGCTTCATCGGCCAGCACGGCCTCCTCCTCCATCTCGACGGTCACATCGGGAGGGGTGACCACGGGGGCCGGGTAGAACGGGTTGGGGACCAGTTCATCCTGCTCCTCCTCCATCACGTCTTCCAGCACCTCCACCTCGCCGGAATCCCGCATGTGCGCCAGGATCAGATGATCCTGGCTCCCGTCCTCTGCGTTGGAGATGTCGCAGGTGAGGAATGCTTTCCTCACCATCTCCTCGGGAACGTCGGCCCACACCTCGTCAATCCACTTCAGGACGAGTTCGGCCGGCGGTTTCTTCAGGTTGCCTGCGGGTTGGGGCCAAGGGTAAGGGATTGGAGGGTGTATGGTTGTGTGATTCGACTGTTCTTACATCGACAACACGCCCCCATTGCTTCATACAAGGGCTCACCTGCGGGAGTTGTGCTTGTGATCTCGTCCTCCTCGAACCAGGTGCCGTAGCGGTGTCGGACGCCCGCCTTGAAGGCTTCCGCCAACGAGGCGACGACGACACGCCGCTGAAACAAGGAGTCGCTTCTTCAATTTCCGCCATTCGCAAATCTGCTTCGGTTGCACGTTAGCTAGCCGCGCCAACCCCCGGATGCTGAGATCGGGCTGCGTGTCTAGCATATCCAGCTAGTACAGCTTCTCCCTCGCCGTGTACGCATGTCGCGCCTTCTTCGTCATACGGTGGCGAGGCGAGTTTGGGGGACGGGATTCTGACGTGCCTGAATCGGGCGTTGACACCATGCTGACACCCTTTTTCTGCCTAATGTTATGCCTGGCATTCTTCGCGCTCTGAATTTAACATTATGTGCTAGTCCCGCTATGCTAGACTCTGCCGAGCTGCGCTCCCCATTGCATAGAGGTGGGTCCGTTCCCTGGCGGTGTCAAATTCGCTTGTGCACGAGACGTGAAAGAGATAGCGCGACTCTGTGCTGAGAGCCTCACGTGTCATGCAAGGGGTGAGACGTCCGAGGCGATCTGACACAAAGCATTGGACGTGGTACACGTTGGTCGGCCCCCAATCTGTAATGGTGGTTACCATTGAATATGGGCCAATGAGCATGAAGCATTCATATGCTTCATGGATTGTGCCCGGTTTCTCGGCTCAAGACATTCGCGGGGTGTTTCCTCGTTTAAAAAACGGAAATCTGCATTACAACACCCTTGCATTTCATTATATATTTTAAAGAGATAGCACTTATAATAAGACCCGGGTCTTATCGGTTTTTTACTCGATAATAAGCCCCCCCCCCCCCCCCCCCCCCTTTTTTTTTGTGAAATCAATAACAGCCCCTAGGGTCTTTATCCAGGGGAATACGGTAAATAGGGAAGGCCACATTGGTAACGGTAACGAACTGCAGTTGACGCGCAACGGGCCTGTGACTGAGGTCGGGACTGAGGTCGGGAAAGTGTCGAAGCAGAGGCCCGGAGCGCAGGTTACCAGCCGAGCCGGGAGGCTGGGTTGCGACGTGCGAAGTGGCGGGATGATTGTCGAAGCGAGGGTCGCGAGTGGTAACGGTGCCGAGTGTGGTGAGAACAGTAATGTATGCGTTACGCAGGGATGTGGCGTAAGGAAAATGAATTTTCCTTAGACAAACAAAAAAATGCAAAAGTATATACTAATCTGAAGGTAATAGTATTGTACAAAGCCATAACTAGTTCTATTTGTTGCGCATGAACTTGCCAGCAACGGTGCCGTTGCCCGCGGTAGTGTTAACGAAGATCATCACGTAAAGGGGCTGCATCTTCCACACCTTACCCCAGGCGTTGCCCTTGGGAGCACCATCAGGGCGAGGCTGCGGCAGAGCGGTCTCGTTCACAGTGTTGCTCAGAGTGTACACCTGGGGAGGGTTCTTGTTCTTCCTCGAGGGTTTCTGGGGCGTGTTCACCCAGGTTCCGTTCAGGTCGAGCACCAACTTCTGCTCGACGAGGACTTCGCACGGATCAGTGCTGTAGATACCCTGAATGGTGGGCGGCTCGGAGGTTCCGGAAATGAGGAGGCCGAATGTCATCGAGTTGGTTCCGTTGCTTTCGGTCGAAAGGACATTCGCGACGATGGATCCGCGGACGAAGGGAAGGGGCTTGCACGGGTGTACGGTTCCCATGTAGCGAGCTGCGTAAGGATGAGAGAGAGAAAGATAGATTCCAGGGAGAAAACGGAGAAACCAGATAATGAGTTGGGTGGCCGCATTGTACGGTGAGGCAGACGCAAACGGCTGACGGTGAAACGTAAGAAGCCGAACAAGCGGACACTCACCAAGCACAGTCGGCTTGAAGGGCTTCTTGGGGGGACCGCCGGAACCTCCGCCAGGCTTGCCACCACCGCCGTTATCTCCGCCGGGTTTGCCGCCGCCGCCGTTATCTCCGCCGGGTTTGCCGCCGCCGCCGTTATCTCCGCCGGGCTTGCCGCCGCCGCCGGTAGTTCCGCCAGTAGTTCCGCCGGTAGTTCCGCCGGAGCCTCCTCCGGTGTCGCCGCCTCCAGGCTTCCCATTGCCGCCTCCGTTGTCGGGACCTTTACCTGGTGGTGGGCCCTTTGACTCCGCTCCTGAAAATAAGAACCACAGAAAGATAGCGTGTGTTGCATTTAGAGAATTTGGAGGGAATGTGGATGGTAGAGCGCGGCTTGGTGTTAACTAAAGAAGATGGAACACGGTGGACGACGATTGACATTATCTTTGGCCAGGATAACTGGGATTACGCACTTAGGAGCAGGAGGGCGATGCACACGAGGACGATGGTAAGTCTGGCCATGGTAAACTTGAGAGGAAACAAAATCTAAGATCGAATGTGGAAGTGTTTGTGATGGTCTGTCAGATACACGATAAAATGTGAGGGAGAAGTGGGTACTTGATCCAAAATGAAGTTGGGTTGTGGTGGGAGGCCGTGAGTCGTCGTGACGCGATTGTTGGTTGGGTTGGTTTGGGTACGGAGTTGGTGTGGGCTTTGCTCGGTTGCATCACCTCCTGACCTGGAGCAGGCGTTTTGGTTTGGTGGCTTTCCTGCTGTGTCACTGTAGCGGTGCAATGCTGCTCGAACAAGCTTCACGATGCACGATTCACATCGCATCGCGCACTTTTTCCCTTGCTGAAAACGAAACAATATGTATGTTCTACAGTGTTTCTGTTGTTACAGTCGGTGCTCATTACCACAACACCAGGTAGGCGGGCGGCATGTGCGTGAAACGAGTTTTAGGCATCTCGCCACATTCGCCCTTGTCGCCACGGGCGAAAAAGGGACTGTAATATGAAATTGGAATGTGAATCGAGTCTAGCGCTTTAAGTTCGTAACCCGGTAAACATTTCTGGTGACGGGCAACCGTTGTTGTTTATGAACTGTATATGTTTTTCTTCCGCAACTTGGTGACTGTACCACAATGCTCAATTCAGTCACTCACGGGAAAAAACGTTCGCGAGTGACTGTTTTTTTATTGTACTAACCTTTGGGCACAGGATAAGGTGAGCATCGACTGTACTTTACTACGTACACATGATGCCCGGTTGAGCCCCCCGACTCTGTCTTACCCTCTGGGCGTATAAGCGATTTTGCAGTTCGCAAAGGTTTCGTCAGTTCGCACCTAGCAAAAATGGCTTAGGAAACAAATGTAACTCACCGCTGACAGTTTGACTTCGGTCTCTTCAGTCAAACCTCGGTTTCTGCGGTTAATATTGATTCAAATCACTGCAACTTGCTCGAGGGGCTTGTGAATGGGGTGCAACTGGCTGGCGCAAAAAACACGGGCGCAAGGTTTCTAAAATATAGAAGGCAAATTCGCGCACCGGGGTTGAGCATCATGTGTACAGAAGTTTACGACATTGAAACTTCTGATTTCTCTCAAAGCAGCCCTTTGTCCACCTCGGGTCGGGTTGACACTCAAAAGTTTACTGCAGCTGTCGTGGATGTTGGGGAAGGCTGGTTGGTGATACATTGATGAGAGAAGGTGGCCTTTTGTCGTTCGTTGTGTACCTGTGAAATCGCAATTTGCCCGAAAACGGACTGCTCTCGGGAGCACCACTGAGCAGTCTGTACTGCCACTCTGCTTATGTAAAAGTCAAGCAGCATCAGCCGTTGCAACTCTAAATCTCTTTGAGTTGTAGGGAAAATGTTGTACAAGGTCCATGCTTCCAGGTGGACACTGGGTGCTCGTTTCATCTGAATGTGTTCAGGTCATTTCTTCAGTTACAGTTTAGCAGCACATAACAGCATTCAGGTGCAAATGGATTTCGCCCTACCAACTTACACCACACCCTGAAACTGTAGACATTGAATGCTTGGGAAGCCTTGGGCTGTCGCGTTCCTTCAAAAGCAGCTTTGGGAAGTGCCTGAGTGCTGAAGAAACGTGACACTCTTAATTCTGTAGATTTCATTTTTTTAAATCAAATCATCATGAATGGCTCCAATGAGAGTACCATATTTTAATTTCCTAACAATGGCTACCTATATATACCTATTGCACTCCGGCTGGATGAGTATGCTCCACGCCAGCACAAAAATACAATGCAATTGCTGTACATGCTAGTAATGCTTAGTGTGCATAAAAGAAGAAGAAGAAGAAGAATAAATAGCAATTTTACATGAACCCCAGACTACCACCAATTATTAGCAAAGAGGGGAAGCTAGCAGTTTATCAAAATCCTTTCTTATTTATTTTATGAAATATACATCTTATGCTACCGCATTCATTCAACATACGCCCTCCCCTCCCCTAAGCCTCGTAACCTTGCACGAGCGAGTGGACCGACACGATAAGACATAGTCCGATTATAATATCTCCCCCCCCCCACCCACTTTTTCTCCTCCTCCCCTCTCCCCCTTCCCGAACCCTCCTCTTCCCACCCTCACCCCCCCCCCCCCCCAAACCTCCCAACCTTTCCTCAACCTCTCTCCCCTCCCCCCCCCCCCCAAACCCCTCCTTACAAATATATACATATGCATGGTGAAATGTATTGTGAAACCTTTGGAATACAATGCTTTTTGTTTTTTGTTTGTTTGTTTTTTTTTTTTTTTTTTTTTTTTTTTAATGCCCTCTACCAATTTTCCCTAGCAGATGGTAAAAGAAACGATAAGCAACTAGGGCCGTCCATACGAGTCAATCATCACAGAATCACAACCGCTAGACCACTAAGATAAAACGGCTTGTTAAGTAGCAGGTGTGCATGTCTATAACCCCCCAAGCTAGCGAGCCTCTGGGACCACCTGACATCCCTAGTGAAGATCTTCTGACATCCCCATTCACAGGGATGCTCTATGACACGGCACATCGGCAGCGACATGGGCGCCAGCTTGTGTGCACATGGTGAATCGATCCAGAGACTTTTCACTCTGATACCATCTTAGAATCCCAGCCGTTAGACCACATGAATTAAAGGGCTTATTAAGAATCGGGTGAGCGCGGTCATAACTCACAAAAGTGATGCATAGCGGAATGATGAACTAGAAAGTGGATGGCGTACTAATGTGCAAACCTAAGAGCTGTACCCCCTAGAAGGCACCTCACTACAGCCTAACATTGTTATTACACGCCATCAAGGAAACGAACAAGTGACAGCAAATGGTTTCAAGACCAGTCAAGACAAGAAACACAACAAAGCTCAGATTGGATCTCAAGATCACCACGCAGTCCGAGCACAAATAAGGGGCCACAAGGCTAGTTCTCAAAGGTCTAAAGAATATATAAATGCAAGTACAACAGTACAGCAAGCAAGAGACAAAGCTACAGTAACCGAGGGCATGCCTCAACAAGTCCTAACTGCACACAGAACCTATGGTGGTCACCAGTCGCCAAGGCCTTAGTGAAGTCGTCGGCAGTGTTGGCCTCTGAGGCCACAAAGTCCAAGCGTGCCTGGCCGCGTCGCTGCAACTCTCGCAGGAGAAAGTACCTCACGTCAATGTGCTTCACTCTGCTCTCCAGTCGAGGCTATCGACACAGGAGGATCATGGCCTTTTTGTCAGCAAACAAGGACGGTGAGCAAGAAGGTCAACCAGCGAAGCTCCTGCGCAGCCATGGCACCAGCGTAGATATCTGCCTCTGCACTGGACGAAGCCACAGACGACGACCGTGTAGACCTCCACGACACAGCTCCGGCGCCCAAGCTGAAGCAGTACCCCTGAATGGACCTCTGTGTCTCCACGTCGCCGGCGTAGGAGGAGTCACAGTGACCGTTCAGAACAACTGGCTGTCTCCCTCCAAGCACAATCCCCATGCCTGATGTAGTCGCCAGATACTTCACCACCCTCACAACAGCTGTCCAGTGAACAAGACGGTGTCTCCCAGTCGCAACAAAGCGAGAGAGGACGCTGAGAGGAAAGGCGAGGTTTGGGCGAGTACAAGTGATCAGGTATATGAGGCAGCCCACAAGCTCTGCGCAGGGACCACTAGGCTCAAACGGCTCGTCGGGAAAAGGGTCGGTGAGTCTGTGGTCAACGGCAAGAGGAGTGGGCTATGTGGTGGAGTGCTAACGCCCGAACAGCTGAAAGACCTGCTGCACCATATGTGACTATGAGAGTGTAATGGTGCGAGCGGCTCTGTCCCTCGTGATATGCAAGCCAAGGTAGCGGCGCAGCTGACCAAGGTCAATGCACGTGTGTCTCTTCTGTAGTTCGGACTTCACCTCAGCCAGAGCGGCCCTGTCCGCTCTAGCAAAAACCAAGTCATCGACGTACATGAGGACGAAGAAAGGCGTGGGCACAGAACGAACGAACATTGATGGGTTGGCGGACGAAGGACGAAACCCGAGGGCAGCAAGAGTAGTGCGCAGCGTGTCGTGCCACTCACGGGGTGCCTGGCGGAGATCGTAGATTGGTCGTCTTAGGCTCCACTGGGTCCCAGGCGGGAAAGTGCCAGTGAAGCCAGGAGGACGACACAACCAGATCTCCTTGTACAGGCTGCCCTGGAGAAAGGCAAAGGAGTGCAGCTCATAGTCTCGCTGTGCTGCAACGTGAACTAACACCCGAAGAGTCGTCATCTTCGGGGTCGGGGCGAAGGTCTGGAAGAAGTCAACTCCCTAATACTGAC